GTCTTTCATGTAATTATCTGCCAATCATTAACTTGATCTGATTTTATGCTGATAATTTAGACGCAACAACATTAATAACTTAAATAATGAGGATGTTCAAAGTAACTGATTGTTATTTTGGGATTTTATGAGGCTCACAACAAGTTCTCAATATTTTATAATCGGACTGTACCCAAATCCCACACTGCAATACCACCTAACATTTCTGGTTCTAGGCACCTTTTTAACCTCCCCCCTAACTGTAGGATTCCACGATATGAAAGGCAGGAACGAAATTTATTCTTTACTTGCAAGACAGAGCAAGCCGTTGTTGGGATGCTCAAGTTAAATGTTGGCAAACAGAAGTTACAACTTGAATATAACAAATTGACAACTTTAATAGTTATTTCGAATAACCACTCAAGTTCCGTAAATTTTATTAATCATTCGCAAATGATGATGACAACTCCACTAACAATTAGCTAAAAGCTCAAATTATGAATTCTCGTTGATTGGCTGTCGGTGAGACTATTCATTAAGTCAATTTTCTATAATATTACCTCCGGTCCTAATTATAAGACCCAATTGACTAATTTGAGGAGATTAAGGAAGTAAGTTAAGTTAGTTATTTGTAACAAATAAGTGTTATCATTCCTAAAATATCCTTGCTAATTAAGTGTGTTGGTTAAAACTATCATTATTAGAAGGATTATCTTGGAAAAAAATGTATAAATATGAGAGACAAAATAGATTAGGGTCTTATAATTAGGACCAAACTAAAAGTCAAACGGGGTCTTATATTAAGGACTGAAGGTAGTATGAAATAAGTTTTTATTTAAAACGCATTTTTCACACATGATCATTTGTCTTCTAATACATTTGACATTAAAATCTCATAAATAATTTTAAATTAGTAATTTCCAATAACGTAAAAAATAATACGATTCATGTTTAAAAAAAGAAAAAAAAAACACTTTTTGGCTAATTAAAAAATTAATTAATTGTTCGACCAAAAAAATTAACTTGATTGAATAAAAAATATTTAGCATTACCCACTCCACTTAATATAAAGCTAGTTAGAAATTTAATTTGATTTTGAATATAAGACTTGAATTATTTTTTTTTAATATTTATCCTTTTTACTTCAAAGTGATCTTTTACATGTGGTAAGAAATTTTCATGAAGAGGCACTTTGAATGCAAATATTTTTTTGGCTAAAATTCAATACACATAATTAACAGAAATATTTTAAAAAAGATAATAACATTCATTACAATAACTACTAATTTTAATAATTTTTATTAATTAATAAGTTAGTTATTTGGTTTTTACTTTAAACATAGGATGTACTTTCTTTAATACCTAACAATTTATATATATTGGCAAAAAGGAAAAAAAAAACTGATTTACTAGTAAAAATTTATCTTGGCAACAGCAACAGGATCCCTATTTAAAAATGTAATGGATCAGAAAAAACTGATTTACTGGTAAAAATGTGCTTTCATTTTCAGCAAAAGCAAAATGGGAATATGCACTCGAGCCCACCCCGCCGGCTTTTCTCTAGTAACCCCGCCCTCTTCAGTCTCCTCCGGTAAAGATCCCTCATTGATTGCGGCGGCTTTCCTCTGAGATTCCTTCTTCTCAGTCGACAGTTAAAAAGACAAGTTTTTCGCTTTGACTATCATCAGCCTCTGATCTCATTCGTTCTGCTTTCCTTTGAGAGGTCTGTTTTGCCAGTCTCGCACTATGAAGCAGACAGTGGTGGATGGAGACGCGCCATTTCTTCCTTCAGAAATTATTATAAACATTCTCAAACGGCTCCCTGTGAAATCCCTAGTCCGATTCCAATGTGTGTGCAAAGATTGGAAAAATCTCTTCAATTTCCCATCTTTCATTGCTGACCACCTCAACCACTCTGCCCATCATAACCCTTGTCTTCTTTTCCGACAGAATGATGGATGTGACCCTTTGCGCCTACAAGTGCTCGATTGCGAGATGCAAGTCCGTGAAGTTCAGAACCCACCTTTGATTGGTTCCTTGCGGTGCGTTAAAGTCATCGGTTCTAGCAATGGCTTGCTTTGTGTTGAAATCGAGCAGTCTCCTCCTTTACTTTTATTGTGGAATCCTGCAACCAGAGAGATCAGACCGGTGCCTAGAACCATAACTACTAATTATTTTGATTATGATAGCACTGTAGGATTTGGGCACAATCCAATCGTTAATGATTACAAGATAGTGAAAACTTTTGCTGAGATTGATTATGAAATTTCCTTGGTAGAAGTGTATTCATTAAGCACAGGTTCATGGAAGGAAATAGAATTAGGGAACTTAGAGGGTGTACAACTTTTTGGTGATGCCTTTGCTGCTAATGGAGCCATCTTTTGGTATGGCCTAAGGCTAGGTGTGGAAGAGGATGGTGAAGATGATATTGAGGTGTTGGTTTCATTTGATATAGCGATGGAAGTGTTTACAGTGATACCAGGGCCTAGTCCAAGTTATAACCTTACTATGTATGAGGGGAAACTTGCTGCACTTTCTTCCTATGGGATTGGAGACTGTCCATACTATCAATACTATTTGTTTGATCTGTGGGTGATGGAGGAAGATATAGGTTCATCTGGGGAGAGATGGAGTTGGAGTAAGAAATATACTAGCATCCCTTGTTTACACCATTTACATCCTGGGACCATTTGGAGGAATGAAGTTGTCATGTCTGGAATTGTCGGTGAAAGTGAACATGGAGTGGAGAATAATGGACTAAAACTTGGTCTCTATCTGTTTAATGCCACTACGAATGAGTTTAAGATGTTTGCCATCCCTAGACATAACCCTATGTGTGATGTTTTCAACTATGTGGAAAGTCTTGTAGTGATAGGAGACATAGATATCGAAGAACCTTCATCCTGAAGGTCGATCATCATAATGCAAATTTACTTTTATTCAAATATTTCCGGCGGAATCTATGTTAGTTTAGATCATTCTGTACCTTTAAGCTTTGATGCCTTCTAGAGAAGCTATTTAGATCGATGGATGTAGACATTTGATATATTCCCTACTTTATTTGATCTATCTATAATATCATGTCGTTCTCCCCCCCCCCCCCAAAAAAAAAAAGACAGTTGTATAATGTTATTTAAATGCTGGTATATTCATCGTTTGGGAATATTTTTATTGGACATCTTCTAAGATTTCAATCTTTGTGCAAAGATTTCCTATCTATCTTTCATCACAGCTCACCTTCACCACTGATTTTCAGCAAATTTTAATTGCTTGACTTCCGTTAGTGATGCATATAAAGAGTTTTACTTCTATAACATAAGACGATCAATCATAATGATAGTTGTTGTTAGAACAACACTGGATCATTCTAGGATTTGTACTTCATTAGCTTTCTGCTTGAGATCAATATTTTAACGTTTTGTTTCATTGATGTAATCAATATTAAGAAAAACCAGCCTCAGACAGGTAGATAATAGGCGTAGGCTGCAGAATTAAAATTTTCTAGTTACAGATACAGTAGATCTTGAAGCATGATTAGGTATAAGTTTAATGACAGTCATATGTCAAGCTTATCTTTGTTATAGCGATGTTCTTTTATCTTAGTGGTTCTCGTGACCATGAATTCATTTGCAGAGTAACATGTAATTTTGAAAAGTCTGGCTTTAAAACAATCGTCTCAAAGAATACTTGCTTGCTATATTTCTCATGATTTTGCAAAGTATTTTCTTACATTTATTTATTAGCTTCATCACATGTTGTAACTTTGTAAGCAACGATTTAAGGAGTTCTAATTGCACATTTCATGGATGACAATGAAAAGCTGTCTGCAGAAAACATTGATTCGCAATATCTGTATGTGATGTAACCCATTATCCGTGATGCGTATGATGCGCAGAATTTTCACAAATTAGGACACCCAATTTTTCAGAAAAATAGTTGAGGTAATGTAAAGTGCAATTTTGCTGGAAAAATTCGTCTCACATATTTGAGCATCTTTAAGATCATTACGATGCAACAAGGAGAAATGATATAAAGAAAGCACCAGATCACAAAACACAATGAGGCACAAAGCATAAATTATAAATGGTTTGAATTCTAATAGCCTGTCATAGAGCCAGGATGATGGTGTTTATAACTGTCAAAATAGGCTAGGTCATCCATCTATGATTGAATTGAGGAATTTACTCTCAAAGATTGTAATGTTCCATTGAAGTAATAAAATTTCCTTTACTTTCTTTTTCTTGTTACAGAGCTTGTGCGTTGGGCAAATCTCACAAGAGATTTGGTGATGATGATTTTACAGATGACATGATTAGATTAATGGCCAGAGGTTTCCTATATGGTCAAGAAGTTTTCGCAGAAACCATGTAATTCTCATTGGAAAATTATCCAAAAAATTGGTTAGGTATCCAAAGGGAACTATAGATCATGATCTGCTCATTGGAAGAGCAAAGATTTTAGATTTAACAGAAGCAGCATCTTAGGTTACTGCATTGTCCTAGGACCAAATCTTATGATGTGATCTTGGTCCTCAAAGAAGCAACCAACTGTGACTAGATCATGAAAGGAACCAGAATTCAGAAGCATCACAAATGCTGTTACTGAAGCTAAAGATCAGAACAATCTTATCCTCCACTGCTTTTATGTGACAATCTTAGTATTGTGTCGTTAACATCAAATCCAATTCTTCATTCTAGGACAAAGCATATTAACTTGGATAAGTGGCTCATGTTCATGCACAGGACTAATTTATGGGCTTAACAAAGTCATTTCCAGTTCTAAGTTTGCAGGATTCATTAACACACTCTCTCTCACACACCCGCACAAACATTAGACAAATGGATGAATGATAATTCAGCAGACATGTAAAGATAAAAATTTTTTATCTTTGCTAGAAGAGAAGGGCAACATCGATCAAATGTAAGTTGGGGGAATACTTATGCTTGATGCTTTCAACTATAGAGAGTATAAATTCGGGGTATTGAAATATATATATATATATATATATATATATATATAGATTAACGTGATTTTATTTTTGGATTTTAATTACAGTCCAATCAAAGTTTATGAACATGGAATCTTCGGATATTTTAAATTGTGAAGTTAAATGGATAACAAAATTTCATAAGAGAAATCATTATTGCCAAGAAAAAGGAAAAGCTGTGAAGGGCTCAGTTAGTTGCCACATGACCTCAAAATTAGTTGAAGATTGAAAAAAAGTACTAACAAGAAGAAAGATTTTAAGAACTCTATTAAGATTAAGCAAAAAGTCAACAAGAAGTAAAAATAGGACTTTAAAAAAAAATCAACTAATGAGGGTTGGGTGCCTGTGCCTTTGAGACCTGATTAAATATTCAAAATTTAATCAGTATAAATATTTAAAATGTAAAACTTTTAATATTTAACTATTTATAGACTTTTCCTGATCACGTGAAAAAACTGATATATTCATGAGGATAAGTTTTCAACAAAAGTACATCTATCAATTCAAGTAAATAATAATAGTAAATATTTCATTTTTTACTTTTCCCTTCATTTTAGTTTTGGTCCTTTAAATTTCAAATTATAGGTTTTTTATCACTTAATTAAGGGATAAAATGGCTCAGGTTTCTATTGAATTATACTTCCTCCTATCCTCAATATAAGATTTGTTTGACTTTTATTTTAGTCCTAGATATAAGATCTCCATTCACTTTGTCTTTCATATTTCTTTATTTTTTTCAAAGTTGTCCTTCTAATAATAGTAGTTTTAGCCAATACATTTAATTAGTAAGAATATTTTAGAAAATACAATACCTATTTATAACAAATAAATAACATAATTTATTTTTTTAATCTACTCAAATTAGTCAACTAGTTCTTATATTTAGAACCGGAGGTAGCATAAATCAATGTTTTAATTTTAAATGAAAAGAAACTTAAGGGATCAACACCGTAAAAATTTGATGGACCAAAATGAAAATAAGAGTAAATTTGAAGAAGCAAAAATTATATCCTAAATATAAGACTCTTATACATATTAATATAAGAGTCTTATAGTATTAACCTATAACAACAACAACAATAATAATGAACGAGATTATCAAGTTGGGTTGCGACTCGTGACCATCGTCGTCCCATTTTTTATTTTTTCCGTAATCCCTTGTGGTCCCGATTGAATGCGACGGCTTTGCCTTGTGAGATTGCTTCCTCCCGGTCGGCCGACGACTAAAAACTCATGTATGTCCTTTTGATTCTCAGGCCTTTAATTTCTTTGCTTTCTTCTCAGAGATCAATTTTTTTCGGAAGAATTGTAATAAGGTCTAAAAAATAATTACTACTACCTCCGGTCCTTAATATAAGACCCTATTTGACTTTTATTTTGGTTCTAAATATAAGACCCCAATCTATTTTATCTCTCATATTTACTCAATTTTTTTCCAAGATAGTCATAATAATAATTATAATTCTAGTCAATACGCTTGATTAACAAGGATATTTTAGAAAAGACAACACCTATTTAGGATAAATAATTAACTCAACTTACTTCCTTAATTTCCTCAAATTAGTCAACTGACTCTTATAATTAGGATCGGAGGTAGTATAAAATATCAATAACAACTAAGCAACTTTCTTCTGTTTTCTTCTATAATAATGATTATAGGTTAATTATAATTGCAATAAATTTGATCTCGCTTTGACTTAGTTTTTAAAATTTAACCTCATTTTCATTTTGGTCATTGTTTCATGGACCAAAAACATTCTAGAAACTAAAAACCTTTAGGTGGGCCAAAATAAAATTAAATTTCACCTTTGATCGGTTCCTCGCTCGGCGCTACAATCATCGGTTCCTGCAATGGCCTGCTCTGTGTTGTAATGAATCCTGCTACTGGAGAGATCAGACAGATCCCTATAACCAAAACTCGTAAACTTCCTAAGTGGGTTCGCTCCACGTTTGGCTATATATGGGAGTTTTTACATTGATACAATGGCCTCCTATATCTGCGTAAATTTCAAGTGATGTTAAATTGACTGTGCATGACGACAAAGTTGCTATACTTTCTCTCTCTAGCTGTTTGATTGATTTGTGAGTGTTAGAGGAGAGCGTAAGTTCAAGTGCGGAGAGATGGAGTTGGACTAAAAAATCTAGTTGCAAGCCCTTCCCATGCACATTAAGGGCTGTTTGTTTTTGTTTTTTGTTTTCTTGTTCTCAAAACAATTTTGTAAAATTGTTTTTTAAAACTATTTTTGAAAACAAAAAACAAAAGCATTTGTTTGAATAATAATTTTAAAAAATCATGTTTACAAGAAAAAGCGATAAAAAATCACATTTGGTAAGTGATAGTTGCCATTGGTATTGATAAATAGTACTCCTCCGGTCCTTATTATAAGACCCAATTTGACTTTTTATTTGGTCCTAATTATAAGACCCAATCCATTTTCTCTCTTATATTTATACATTTTTTTCCAAGATAATCCTTCTAATAATGATAGTTTTAGCCAATATACTTAATTAGCAAGAATATTTTAGGAATGACAACACTTATTTATTATAAATAACCAATTTAACTTACTTCCTTAATCTCCTCAAATAAGTCAATTGGGTCTTATAATTAGGACCGGAGGAGTAGATAGTAAGTAAGAAGAAAAGAAAATTTTTTAAAATTTTTCAAATCAAAAAATAAAAAAACACAAAAACAAAAACAAGAAAGCATGTAAAAGTTGTTTTGGTTTTTAAGTTTTTAAAAACATGTTACTATTTTTTTGTTTTTTAAAACAATCAACTAAAAATAAGTTACCAAACAAGTTTTTTTTTGTTTTTCTGTTTTTAAAAACAAAAAATCGTTTTCAAAACAAGAAACCAAACAAGCTCTAAAATTTCCTGAGATCATTTGGAAGAATGAAATTTTCATTGGTTGTTTTGAAAAGTATAGACTTGTGAATAAAAGTGGTATAATGAAGACAGACCAAGAAAACTTTGGTCAATTACATTTGATCAATATCACTAATGAGACTAAGATGCTTGCTATCCCTGGATTTCGCCATGGTAATGTTTTCAATTATGTTGAAAGTCTTGCTCCAATTGGCAACATTTACTTTGAAGAATCTTGATGATCCTATAAAGGATAATTGTCACAATGCAAATTTATTTAATTTTTTTTATTTTTTTGGTTGAAATTAATTCTATCAGTTTAGATTAATGACAAGTTTTGATGCCCTTTTCTATGTTATATAGAACGATGAAGGGTAGATTTTCAGTATCAGGTGCCTTTAATTTTTTGGGGCCTATATTTGACCTATTCATAATATGGGTGCTCGTCTCTGCCACTCTGCACATTCAAAATAGTATTTCCCCAAGATTTTGCTATTTGCAACAAATATTAATTGGTTGACTTCCATTAGGGATGTATAGATAGAGGTTCAATTTGAAAGTTACTTACATATCAAGCAATCATAAAATAAATCTTGTTAGAAGATTATGTTGATGAGTGATTCTAGATTTGTATTCCATTAGCTTTTTTCTAAATATCCATATTTTTACAGTCGAAATTACAATATACTTGTTAGTTGTGAATGAGAACCAAAGGAACTATACCGCAATCAAAAAAGAAGGGATATAAAACGACTATTGATTTTAGTTGCAACAGCTTGTCTACATAAAATTGTCAAGGAGGTGATAGCATTTCCGCTAGGATAACTAACCGTTAACTACCAATTTTAATTATTTTCATTAAAAACTATTTTCTTAATGAAAAAATTTCTTAATGCATGCAATTGATAGGAAGAATTTAGGAACAAAATTGTTAATTTGAAAGGAAAGAGGATTGAGTTTTTAAATATATTAAAAACAAAAAGAAATCATTTCACTTGCTTTATGCTAAAGAATAGAGGTAATTAATATAACTGAAACTATAAATCATATAACTAAATTAATTCGAGCTGCTTGGCAAACATAGCTAAAAGTTTTTGTCTTTTTCCCTTTTTTTTTTTTTTACTACACGGACATCATTAGGAATTATGTGATGGATGAATGAATGAAAATGGAACAGATATGTAGAGGTTGGAGAACAAATTTTCTTATAGCAAATTTTATGTTTTACAATCTCAACTCAAATGAAATAAATAAATTTAACATATTGAATTACTCTTTCTATCCTTAATATAAGACCTAATTGTTGAGTTAATTTGGTCTATATATAAGACCTATTTCTCATATTTATCAATTTTTTTAAATTATCTCTATGGATACTCCTTCAAATATAATCAAGTAGAAAAAGAAAAGAGGATATTAAGAAAGATGATTATGGTGTTTTAGAAAAAACATGTCATATTTTTTGTAATTAACTAATTTACCTAACTTTCTTAATCTAATCAAATTAACTAAATAGGTCTTATATTAAGGACCGGAAGAATATCTGAATATAAGTCTATTGATAATTTTTATCTCGAATCCTTGTGAAAAAGTGAGCTTTAAGACTTTAAGGAAGGTGAGGGTGTAAAAATTGTTTTTTCTTTCGTTATTTCATTCAAGACAATAACTTGCACCCAAAATAGTCACTCGGAAAATAGATAAACATGATGAATTGATTTATACAATTGTTTTTGATTGTTAGGTAAGTTATTAAGGATAAAAGCATGTAATTGAGATAATAATTATATTGATAAAAGTTAAAAAAGGGCAGGTTTGGAAATTAATTAATTAGCTACTGCCATGCCACTTTAAAATCCTCAGTATAAATTATCAATGTCATCATATATGATTGGAAAAATAATATCAATTAATATATATATATATATATATATAGATATATATGGCCAATCAATATATAGGGTAAAGCTTGAAAATATTTTACCGTTCACAAAAAGTAGTTGATAAAATTAATTTTTAAACTCAGAATCATAGGATGAAACTCAAACTCAGAAGTATATAATTAGAGCCGTAATCTTTCCTTTTGTATAGTTTCTACCTTATAAAATTAGAATAAAATCTAATTTGATTGGAGAAAAATAATATGAAATCGTTAATAATATTATATTAATTTGCATAGATGTAATGTAACTTTTTGATAAAATATATATCATATTTAAAAGATCACATGATCACAATACTTCAATTTCAAGAGATACTGAATCTTATATAATAATAGAATTATACAAGATAGATTTTTGGCCAGCAGTTATGGAATATAGATTAGCAATTAGAAATTAACTAAAAGTTAAATCCTATTATCTTTATATATAATGGCAAACACTATGCATTTAAATATTCATCTAGATGCAGAACAGTTAAAACTTCATTAATAAAGATTAAAACAGTGATTTATCGTTGAAAATACGTTTCCATTTCCCATCGATCTTTCCTCCGCGAGATTTCTTCTTCATTCTCAGCCGATTGGCAACTCAAAGCATATATATAGTTATATAGCTTTCTGATTTTCAGCCTCTGGTAGATTTCCAAGTCGAACACCATGAAGCAGAGGATAGCGGGTGGCGACACGGCGGCGCCATATCTTCACGAAGAAATCATCAGACAAATTCTGAAACGACTTCCGGTGAAATCCCTAATCAGATTTCAATGTGTCTCCGAACGCTGGAAAAATCTCATCAAGTCGCCGTCTTTCATCGACGAACACCTCCATTACTCGACTCATCAAAACCCTTCACTTCTTCTTAGGAAAAGTAATGGACGTTTTAAACCTTTGCAGTTACGTTTGATGGATTCTGAGATGCACGTTCGTGAAGTTCAAAACCCACCTTTACCACTCCGTTCCTTATTGACATTTAGTATCGTTGGTTCCTGTAATGGATTGGTTTGTGCTGAAATCGATGGGTATGATAAATCTGCCTCCTCCGCATCCTTTTTGTTGTGGAATCCTGCTACTGGGGATGTTAGAAAAATCCCTACAACCAGAAGCTCTAAACATCCTTATGAGTCGGTTTACGTCGGATTTGGGTTCAGTACGATTGTTAACGATTATAAAATAGTGCAAATATATGATGGGTATGATGGGGATATGGTGATTGAAGTGTATTCATTAAGCATAGGTTCGTGGAAGGAAATAGAATCTGAGAGCTTAAAGGGTGTAAGTCCTTCTGATATTATTTGTAATTGGGTCACTGTCAATGGACGTATCTTTTGGGATGCTGCAACTCCAGAGGATAAAGAGGATGGCGTATATCGTACTTGTTTGATACTTTCATTTGACATAGCTTTGGAAGTTTTTACAGTGATACCAGGACCTCCTCAATTAGATGTTTCAGGAGAGACTTTGAATTCACTTTGTCTGCTTATGATGATAACAAGCTTGCTATAATTTATGTGCCTAGAGTCGGTCGCCCTCCAAAGTATTTATATTCTTTGATCCACTTGTGGGTGTTAGAGGAGAAGGGCACAAGTTCATCGACAGAAAGATGGATTTGGACTAAAATATATACTAGCAATCCATGTCCAGCCAAGTTTGACGTTCCTCGGACCATGTGGGGGAACAAATTTGTCTTCTTTTGTATTAGGGAGCCTAGCCTTACAAATGAAAGCGGCGGCGAAATGGAGAATCGATTTTCCTTAAGCATCATTACTAATGAGGGCAAGATATTTGAGATCCCTCAATGCTATGGTAGTTGGGCTCTCAATCATGTAGAAAGTCTTGTACCAGTTGGCAACATTCACTTTGAAGAGCCTTGATGATTCTAAAGCTGAATTTTATTACATTGCAAATTTGCTTTTCATTTAAACATTTTGGTGGAAAATAGTCCATATCCTTGCCAGTTTAGATTAGTGATATAAATTTTGATGCCATTTAGATGTGTTATATAGAATGATATGAAGGGTAGCTTTTTTAGTACGAGTTGTTTCTGGCTATATTTGACCTATTGATTATATCAGATTGCATTCTGCAAATTCAAAAATGTAATTTTTTTTCCACATGATTTTTTTTGGCTATTTTCGACAAGTATTAATTGGTTTACTTCTATCGACACGTAGATAGAGTTGTAATTTGGAATTTATTAACTCTTATTGTTAAAAAGTTGTTGAGTGAATCCAAGATTTGTACTCTATTATCTTTCTTCTAGAGATCCATATTTTTAACCATCAAAATTACACTACTAGATTTATTAGCTGTGGCTTATTAGAACATAAAAAACAACGAAATCCAGACAGAAGAATATCTGGCATTAATTAACTACAACACAATCAAAATTTTCAAAATATACTAAGATAAAGGAAAATCAAATGCTTTCTTCATTTTAAATATAAGTTATTTTTACCTTATGCGTGCTTATTAAGAGAAACAATTGAGTAGTTGGAAATTTAAATTTTTCCCAACGATACAAATTGTTTAAATTGGTCATATTAATATAGGTAAGGAAAATATTTAGGTGAAGTTAATTATAAGAAATATTGCAATAAGGTCTTACCCAAAAGAATTAAATACAAAAAGATTTTTTGAAATTATCAAATTATTATGAAATCCTAAGGGACCTAATTGTAACAAATTTTATTTATTTAATTAACAAATTATCTTTTTTAAGTATATATTGATAATTGAAAGATTAGTCTTATGTAAGGATTAACAACTATTGCAGCAGGTATTAATAACATATTTTCTCAACTCATCACAAAAATGTAATACATAAGTTGTTAATATTTGTTATGATAGTTATTAATTATTACACCTTAAGTTGTTAGTTACTATACTTTCAGTTGTTAATACATACTTTAAAAAAAAGAGCAATTTGATAATTAAATAAATGAAATATCTTGCAATGAGGTCTCTTGTGACTTTAAAATTTCAAGGGACTTTTTTTGTATTCAATTCTCTTAGATGGGGTGTTATTGCAATTTTTCCTTAAGTATATTTATTATGTTAAGTTCTCTAATCACATATGATTATATATTTTATATCTTTCTATATGGGTTTATAATTAAATGATATTAAATGCTAATAATTAAAAAAATAAAATACATGACTAACTATATGTGATTAGAGAATTAAACATAATTGATATAAGTAACTTCACCTAAATATAGCCCTTAAGAGATAAAACTCACACACTCTTCATATCCATAAATATTCGAACTTTCAAGATGATAAATTAATTTATACAATTGTTTTGGATTGTTAGGTAAGTTAATGGACAACAAGCTGCTTTTTTTTTTTTTTTTGACCCGCAACGGATAACGAGCTGCTGTAGTTGAGATAATAATTATTATTGATAAAATGAAATAAAAAGCAGGTTTGAAAATTAATTAATTAGTTGCCATGTCACCTTATAAAATCCCCAGCATAAATTATCAATATCATCATATCATTAACATATGATTGGTTAAATAACATCAATTAATATATATGGTCAATCAATATAAAATGGTAAAGCTTGGAGCTTTTTACCGCTGATAAATAGTAGTTGATAAAATTAATTTCCAAACTCAGAATCATAGGAATGAAACTCGAAACTCAAAACTCAAAAGCATATAATTATAGCCGTAATCTGCCCTTTTATATAGTTTCTACTTTCTACCTTATAAAATTAGAATAAAAATCTAATTTCATTAAAGGTAATGACGATAGGAAATCGTTAATATTATATTAATTTTTTATAGATGTAATTTTTTTGATAAAATATATAATATTTAAAAGATCACATGATTACAATACTTCAATTTCAAGAGATACTCCGATGGCAGGGGAAAAAAAAATCAAGAGACACTGATTACTGAACCTATATAATAATTAGACGATAGATTATTTTTTGGCCAATAATATTAGAATATAGATTTGCAATTAGTACAAATTAACTAAAAAATTAAATCTCAGTGATAATGGCAAACACTATGTATTTAAATATTTATCCAGAGGGAGAGCATTTAAAACTTCATTAAAATTAAGATATAGGCCCCAAAAACACTTATTTATCATTAAAAATTAGTTTCTTTTAGTAGATTGGAGAAGAGAAGTAGACAAGAAAATAAGAGAATGATATCTCTCTTATCTTACTCATATCTTTCATTCCAAATCTTGTTCATATTTCTTATTTTCATAACAGTTTTCACTTTTTACGGAATGGAAATTCATATAAACTTGGCTCGCCCCAAAGACCCCATCGATCTTTCATCTGCGAGGTTTCTTCTTCTCAGCCGACAACTGAAAGCGCACACACGCACACACATACGTAGTTATATAGCTTTGATTTTCATCCTCTAATTCCTTTTACTTTCTTTTGATAGATTTCCGACCACCACGAAGCAGAGGTTAATGGATGGCGAGACGCCATATTTTCCTGAAGAAATCATCAGAGGAATTCTCATACGACTTCCGGTGAAATCCCTAATCAGATTTCAATGCGTCTCCAAAAAATGGAAAAATCTCATCAAGCGTCCATCTTTCGTCGATGATCACCTCCGTCGCTCTGCTCATCAATACCCTTCACTTCTTCTTTGGAGACAGCATGGAACTTCAAGACCTTGGCAGCTACGTTTGATGGATTCTGAGATGCATGTTCGTGAACTTCAAATCCCACCTTCACTACGCGATTCCAAGTTGAACGTTAAGATCGTCGGTTCCTGTAATGGTTTGGTTTGTGCTGAAATCAAGCAGTACTACAATAGATCTGCCTCACGCAATTTCCGCAAATCCATTTTGTTGTGGAATCCTGCCACTGGAGAGGTTAAACAAATCCCTAGAACCAGAACTTATGAAACTACTGAGTGGGATTGCATTGGATTTGGGTTTAGCCCAATTGTTAATGATTATAAGATAGTGCAAATACATGTTACCATCCATTATGGTAGCCCGATTGAAGTCTATTCCCTAAGCACAGATTCGTGGAAGGAAATAGGAACTGAGAACTTAAAGGGTGTACGTCCCAATGGTGAGTGGGTCACTGTCAATGGACGTATGTTTTGGCGAACTCTACGAGGAAAAGTGGGGGGCAAAGAACAAGGTTATTTCATTCTTTCATTTGACATAGCGACGGAAGTGTTTACAGCGATACCATGGCCTCCTCAAGTATCGTGTCGTGGATCTTATTGCGCTCTATCTGTGCATAATAATAAACTTGCTATAATTCGTGTCCCTACAATTGGTCATTTACATTCTTGGATCGATTTGTGGGTATTAGAGGAAGAGGACGGTATAAGTTCATCAACAGGAAGATGGAGTTGGACTGGAAAATTTCCTAGCGATCTTTGCTCAGGCACGACAAGGTTTCTTATGACCATTTGGAGGAATAACTTTGTCTTCTTTTCTGATGAAAAGCCCATACCTACGAATGGAAGTGGCAGCGAAATGGAGAATGATAAACAAAGGGTTTGTCAATCTTTTACTGAGATCATTAGTATTAATGAGGGTAGGATTTCTATTATCCCTGGATTCTATGATGATGTTTTCAATCACGTGGAAAGTCTCGTACCAATTGGCAACATTCACCTTGAAGAACCTTTATTCTAAAGGTTAATTTTATTATAATGCAATTTTTCTTTTTATTTGACTATTTTGGTGGAAAATAATCCTTGTCATTTTAGATTTATTACATAGAATGTGATGAAGGGTAGATTTTTAATACGAGATGTTTCTGGCTATATTTGACCTATTGATTATCTGCAAATTCAAAACTCTATTTTACTTTTTCCTAGATGATTTTTCTTTTTTGGCCTATTTGCGACAAGTATTAATTGGTTAAGTTCCATCAGCCATACATAGATAGAATTGCAATTGTAATTTGAAATTTATTAGAACAAAACATAACAACGTAGTCGAGAAAGACGAACATTGGACATTAGTTAATCGCAATACAAGCACAATTTTCTAAACTTACTAAGATAAAGGAAAATCAAATGCTTTCTTCATTTTAAATGTGAGCTAATTTTTACCCTGTGCATGCTTATTAAGAGAAACAATATAATTGAGTAGTTTGAAATTTTAAAATTCTTCCATCTATATATACTAATTGTTTAAGTGCATTGAAAATTATTGTTTAATCGGTCATGTCAGTGTGAGTAAATAGTTTTAATATACTTAGTCTACTATGAGCATAATAAGAGATAAATTAGTAAACAATATTTATTCTATTATGATTTTTAATTAAAAAAATATACTTTAAGAATATTTTTAGAATATTCTTTAACAATGGGTTAATAATTTGGATTAAAATGTATGCTTTCAAAATATAAGTATATGCGAGTAAGACAAAAGGGTGACTAGAGTATTTTATTTTAAAATTGATTACAGAATTTAATTTCCTTGGTTCAGAATAGGAATAAAATTCAGAATTCAGAATTTTAGCCGTAATCTCCTTTTATATTGATAATAAAAGA